ACCTAAATTAAGAAATAGCAAATATTAAATAAAGATAAAATAGACGGATATATGCCTTGTGATTTGAACCATTACCAGCAAATTTTATACTATCATATGTTGACCTTAATCCATTGATTGACGAATCAGATAATAATGATCGATTTTCCGGAACTATATTTTCATTTATTGAAAAACTACGTTCAACATCAGCATTACCATGAGGAATAATAAGAATGTTTTTAATTAGGTTGCTTAATGTAGAATATTTCTGACGACTATCCGTCGTTGTAATGCTCAAAACCTTATTCCAATAATAATCAATACGATGATATATAACAATTTCAGCACCTAAATAATCCTTTTTTTTCTCTTTAATGTACCACGTTTCATCAATGTTTTCAAGTGAATAATTTAACCATTCATCACGTGTATAATCAATCTCTTGATCACTCAATAGACCTGGAACAGTTCTAGAAATACGTACGATATCATCACTATATTGTACAGATCTATACGAGGGATGAAAAATTTGTATATCACGTAAAAATGAATTTCTTAATGGTAGATTCTTTTTCAAATACTCAGCTATTGTATGATAAATGGTTCTAACATCTTCATAAAATGTTTCTCGCTCTTTTTGTGTAAGATTACTTAATAGTTTTCGAGCTCCTTCTCCTAATAATAAAAAATAAATGAATAAAAAATACATGTTTCAATTAAGATTAATTTTTACATTACCAATACGTATATTTTTATTATTCAATTGTTTTTCATTTAATTTAAAATCTATTTATAATAGATCACCTTCAACTTTATCACCAACACAATCTGATGTTAAAAATTGTAATAAAACTAAACGATACAACAATGACAACTCATAATAAAGAAGATGTATATGTGGTGCTTCTTGTTGAAACAATGTCAAAAAACGATCGAATATTGTTTCACATAAAAACAATACAAACTGCAATCTAATTTTAATTACATACGAAGTTAACGATTCTTTAATTCTTTCATAACGATCATTATTTTCAACTTGTTGTTTTTTATTGACTGGTAAATACATTAAAAAATATTCATGTAATGGTTCCCATAATGCTACAAATAATTCAACATAATATTAACTTTTAAAATACATGTATAAAAAAAATGAACTTACTTAAAACGCGCGTTATTACTTTGCCTAACAAAACCCACCGTGTATTGGTGAAATATAGTATTGTCTTTTCAATAACACAATTACAATCGCTAATTATATCAATCAAATCTTCTTTGCGAGCAGGTGATTGTTTAAACCATGAATAAATATCGATACGTTTATTGTGAATATTCCAATCTGTTGAGGATAAACCTCGTAAAAAACAAACAAAATACTCTGATACATTATTCAAAAGGGAATCTATACTTACCAGCTTTAAAACCATTATGTGCTACATGAAGATGACAACCACCAAGTTTCAAAAGACCACAACCAACCTTTTTCATTTCATTTTCAATCATATTCTCCAACGATAAATTAACAAATGGACTATCACGACCTAACATTAATAATTGTTTAAGTTCTAATCCATCAGCTTTAAGTGAATCTAAAATAGCAGTTTTAAGAATAGCTGCTGTTGCATGTCATAATAAAATAGATTTGTAATATCTAGTAACAATAAGTCCTTCATCGAAACACCAATATTTGACTAATAAATCTAGCTGTTTACGATCTTGGTTGTTGGTCTGTTCGTCGAAGCATACGACGAATTTCTCATTACGTTTTAGAGATTTAATAAGTTCTTGATGAAAATATGGACCAAGACCATGAGATAAGACATATGAAGTTTTTCTTGACTGCATACTAAATTTTTGTGCTATTTTAGAATCAGGAAACATGTGATGAAAAACATCTCCGATTTCATCACATGAATTAAAGCTATAACCACGTTGGGCAACTGTTAATGCCCATATCGCTTCAACTTTTGTAATTTGTTCTTGAAAGTCTAATACAATAGGTCGTTCTGTATTATCTAATCTCAATTGTGATATTGAATGTATTATCTGTTGATGATGGTGTTGCTTTTAAAGATGTAATACAAATTGTTGAATTATTTTTTAATGATGTTATATTATTCACATGGGATGACTCAAGTACTACATAGGTCATGCTCTGTACCTCCTCTCTTCCGCAAAGTAATCAATATCACAAGTAGTCCAACAAAAAAGCTTTTATGGCATAGTGGTATAGCAACACTTTCTCTTTCTAAGCATGTTTACGCGATACTTAAACGATTTTTACGGCCTTTTGTTTTCATGTGCTGTACTATGGCTCCCCATCCTTGATTGGAACAATCAAGATCACCTGTTTTACATAAAATACATATGAATGTTGATGTATTTCTCACCTTGTTTTAACCATTTATTCACAGTAATACCATCTGAATCTGTGTTGTTTAACCAATCAGGATCAGAGCTGCCAACAGCCCACTTTTTCCAGCCTCACCTGGCCTGCTGAGCAGACCAGGCTGAAATTCAAAAGTCAGCCTGGGCCTGGTCTGGCCTGCCTGCAGGCCAAACCAGGCCGAATAGTTTTTTTGATTTTTCAGATTAGTAAATTGACAGTTTGTCAATAACCCAACTAAGCACAAGATGAACTGAATGGTTCGTCATTTTTGGGTGTGGGTGTGGGTGTGGTGTGTGTGGGTGTGGGTGTGGGTGTG